TTGCATATGCACGAGAAACATCGCATTCGTGGGCATGTGTGACATTAGTATGGGTGTGTGCATGGTTTTGATCAAACACAACTCTTTGTGGATGATGTGTGGGCTCAGAAAATTTGAACCAAAGTTCGACTAAGCTGCACGAGGTTGCATTGAAGATAGTGTCAGAGTTAGCAAGAATGGCTAGATTGTCCCTCGAGTGCAAGACTCGGTGATTTGGATACGCACTTCATTCGTATAGAGTCCATAAAGTGTGTCAACATATGCGGAGCCGTTGGTGGAATTCCATAAATGTCATGTAAGTTCATAAATACCCACCCCAAGAAAGACTCGGGATTTATAAATGGTCATTGGATGCATAACATCAATGGCGGGGGGCTTGGAATGCCCGAATTCATAAGCATGACATTGCATGTGTTATGGGAGCCGTTGAAGGCTCGGGTTGCGTTGCATGTATGAGTCTCACCTTATATTTTGGCATGTCATTGTTACATTAATTCTTGAAGTTGCATTTCATATGCATTTAGGTTGGAGAGTAGTCTCATTAGGAGATACCCTATTAAGCATGGCTCACGATTTATGGGGACAACATTTCAAGTGTGGGATAAGAGTCGGTGGATAGCTCTCACTTAGGCTCTCATTGATGAAAAAGAGCCGAAATGTGGCTTTAAATTATATTTTTGTAAAATAAATATGTAATTTAGTTTTTGGACATGTAATATTGTATAAAATATTGTAAAATGGACTCATATGAACCATGTTTTTGTGTAAAATTGTATGTTATATGAGTTTGGGTAGATGTTGTATGAGATTGGATAAGTTGGATTTGAAAAAGGATGGAATCGGGAGAAAATTAAGCTCTTCTACCAGTAGAACGTTGAACATCTACCGGTAGAACATTGAACATTGGTTATCTTCTGATAGAAGAATTCCAGAGAGCTTTTCTACTAGTAGAATGTTGATTTTCTACCGGTAAAAGTATTCTAGTGAGCTTTTCTACTGGTAGAACGCTAATCTTCTACTCGTAGGTCATCTTAAATTTTTAGAAAATTAAAACTATCTTGTCAGACCTTCGGATCTTGAGTCCTTTTATTCAAATGATGTACATGGAGTAATAATTAGGACAAATTGATGTATGTTGGACCTTGGACCTTGGACCTTGGACCTTGGAATGCGTTTGGGCGTGCCCAATACAAGAAAGACTTTGCCCAAACTCTGTTGTTGGTTTACGATGCCGATAAAGGGGATGTTTTGCAGTGGTGTCGGGTTATGTGGCATTCACAGTTACTTCCATGGGTTGATGGGTGATCAACAAGTTGACAAAGGACCCCCAATTTTAGGGACGTCACAAATACTCCTTTAAATGCTTAGCCCTCGGTGCGCCACACGCCTTAATTTATCTGGTCTAATTTTATTCTGAATCAATTAATTCTCGCCCCGCTTTAAGTTTAGTATATTTTTATTGAACTAACTTTAAATTATTTTTCAGGTCCCGCGAAAGAAATTCTGATCACGTTTATGTTAGTCATGCGACATTCAATTGCATTCTAAAATTCAAAAAATTTGACTGTATCGGAATTTAAGACTAGGTAGCTAGATTTTGCAAAACAAATCCAACGGTGAGGTCTATTTCGCCATTCGAGTTTTAGAAAAAAAATTGGTTGTCTACATATACCATAGCAACTAATTATTATTTTGCCCTTTTTTATGAAATTTTAATTTTTTTGGGTTTTACAATGAGTGCAACTCATTAACCACAAGTAGAAATAATTTCATCCATCAACCATAATAATTAAAACATAATCCAAAACAACTGTGCCAAACCTAGGCAATTACATCCAAAACCAAATATAACATGTCTCCCAAACACCAATTAATATCACATAGCATAATAAGTAAAATATCCTTGGTAACATTGTTTTCTTAACAAACAAGTAAATCAGTCAATAAACATAATCTTAAACATCCTCCTCGGGAACCACATCCTTGACAACCTGGGCTTCCCAATCTACCTGCACGTATGAGCCAATCTCCTCTTACAAACCATAATCTGTAATATCCTCCCATGGACAAGCTTTGTAGAAAAATCCTCCCAAAGACAAGCAAGGTTTGGAAACGAAACAATGGGTCAGTCTCAAGTTACAAAATATCATATATACTTTTGAATTAAAAACAATGACAAATTAATCGATATCACGTTTACGTTGAAAGCAATAAACTAATCTCAAAAATAAAATCGATTCTCAATCCATCAACTAATTCCACAATGATCTATCTTAGGTATGTATGTAGACTGAGCATGAATACGGACATTGAGAATATCTTGCCACACACTCACACACACAATCCTCATAAGGATACACAACTTTAGGTAGGGCGTATACCGACGTATCGGCAGTGACGAATCCAATAAAAGAATAGTATACTAACCCACGACCTACAAATAGTGGTTTGGTCCACACACGTAACCAATCGCCACAACGAGTGATAAGAAACTTTCAAACCCACTCAGAGTAAGAAACATATCTACCCACTCTACGATATTCAATCAATGGTCACCCATGCTCATCAAACCATCCCATACAAGCGATACTATCGAACCACTTCACCAAATCACATGTAAACCAAGCACTATACTTTCACAAGTATTTTTCCAATGGAGCAATTTAGGAAAATATGCTCGAGATCATAAAGAACGTAATTTTATTCTTAAAACCCATCGCTAACATTTTTATAAATTAACAAGAAGGAACATGTAAAGCCTATCTTTCTTGAAAATTAGGGTTTCGATAACAAGAACAAGATTTTTATGGCTATCAAACAATAATTCCATTCAAAACATGATACAATTTGTAAGAAAACCAAGAATCAATGATTAAATTTCATATACTTACGATTTAGAGTGAAAACCTACATAAGTGGTAACCCTAGCCACAATGAACTGCTCTAGGAAGAAACCCCTACCTCAATCCAAGATTTGATGTGAAATTCTAGCGTGTTTGATTCGTCCTCTATGCAAAAATCCTCGACAATCTTGTTTTCTCTTCTTCTTCCTCACTTTCTAGGTTTCTTCTAAGGTCTAGAGCTGCTAAAATTAACCTAGAAATGTCCTTAGGGTATTACTAGGGTCAAATATTTGAGCAATTATGTGAGTTTGATTGTTGTTAAAACGTCTATGGCGTTCGAACTTGGGAATTTTGTTCAAACTGAACTTTGCTTGAACGTCACGAGCTTCTAGTATCTCAACTTTTATCATAAGTTCTGTTAGACACTAAAGTAATGGGACTAACTAGTGTTAGAATGTAATATTGGCATTCAAACGTAAACCCAATTTCCTACTTTAATTCCCAACACAGTTTTGATCTACTTAGAAGGCGATTCACATAATTTTTGTTAAATAAACTTTTCTTCCTTTAGATATCTAATTTCTACTTTCAAAATTTCAGACCATTCTAATGTCATAATACAATACTGAGACAACATCTTACCATTCTCAATAAACTTTATCACAAATATACTACTCAACACACAAAACACTTCTAGCACCCTATATTTTTGCCTTATTCTTACGACGACATCTTATACTTAGGCAACAAAATATAAAATATCCATTATAATACATATATGGAGGTTTATATAGGTTGAGGTAGCGTTAGGATTAGGGTTAGGATTAAGGTTGAAGTTTTTATACCTAGAGTTGGGCTATGATTGATGTCTTAAACTACCTAACCTACCCTATAGCACCCCTAGAGCTGGGGAGAGGAGAGAGAATGGAGACTAGACTAATTTGGGGGAAAATGAACTAAAAGTTAGGCTTTAGGAATTTAAAGAAAACAAAAAAAAAAAATTGAAGAGGAAAACGCCCAGTCAAACAAAACCACGTCGTTGAAAAATTTGAAAGCTATTTGTCAACATTAACTTTAATGCTGATTAGGTTAAAAAATTTTGGCTTTGATTTGTAAGCGTTTGAATTTAAACATTGGCAAATCTCTAACATTTTTACTGAGTTGTCTATAGAACCCAAAAACAAAATTTCGATATCATGCATTTATTTATCATATTTGTGGATGATTTTATTATTAGTATGAATGTTTTTATCATTACTATGGTACCAAAAAAATAATAAAAAATAATTACCATAACAGTGGTAAAAATATTTATAAAAATAGTTAATTACCAACAAAAGTGATAATTTTTTAGTTTTAAAATGATCCATAAAATAGTAAAATTTTGAGGTAGAATACCGAATTATTTTTGTTGGTACCATAGTCAAACCACTAGTTTACCAGTACTTTAAGTAAACGCCGGCTAATGAACGCTAGTGAAACCCTATTTTCTTGTAGTGTGGAGAGATGTCCCATTCACATAAACGTGGCAAATCAATTGTTCAGGTATTAGACTATTGCTTTTGAAGAAGTTAACTGATCGAGTTCAGGTAATAGAGATCCATGCATTGGTGACCTTTTCTTTTTTGTTGAATGCATCTTAGGACTCAAATGGTATGAACTATTGAGAATTAGACTGAAAAAATAAATGCTAAGGACAACTGAAATAACCCATGAGAATTGTTGTTTGACCTTCAAAAATTAACACCATTTGTTGACTTTATCAATCACTGTTATTGATTTTGATTATAGATCCCAACATTTATTAGTATCTATTAACTATTTAATAATTGTGATCGACATAGTCAACAAATAATGTCAGTTTTTGGAATCCAAATAACATTTTCCATAACTCTTTATTTATAAGGAGGTCAGAGAGCATTAATGGTGGACACTAGCAAGAGTAAGGGATGAGGAAGAATGACAATAGGACCATGGCATGGTGAATAAAAAACAGATTAGCTACAGTTTCCTAAAAGTGCTTTTTACTGGAATGTCAGCTAAAGAAGAGATTAATTAAGTGGCATATAAAGATTCTCCCTGTTTGGCGTAGAAAGTAATGGAGAAGCTACCAAATGTTCAGCTACGCGGAAGTAGAGATAACGTCTGGAGCAGCCAATGGCGACACATGTTTTGGAGTTTGTCTCTGCTTTTAGCTGCCATCATGCTTATCATACCCCTTACAAAAGAAGAAACTACCCATCTCTACCGCACACAAGTTCACACACACACAGTGAGAGAAAGAGAGAGCTTGAAACTGAAGCAGAAATGGAGGAAGTGGTTGTGATTGTAGGAGCAGGTTCAGCAGGCCTTGCGACTTCTGCATGCCTGAATCATCTCTCAATTTCCAACATTGTTCTTGAAAAAGAAGATTGTTGTGGCTCTCTGTGGAAGAAGAGAACATATGATCGACTGAATCTCCATCTATATAAGAAGTTCTGTTCCTTGCCTTTTAAGCCACACCCACCGAAAAGTCCCGCATTCATGTCTAAAGCTGCATTCATCCAATACTTGGATGACTATGCTTCATCTTTCAACATAAGCCCCTGGTACTGTCGTTCTGTCGAATCAGCTGTTTTTGTGGAAGGTGATCAGAAATGGCATATTGAAGCAAAAAACACCATGTCAGGGGAAATGGAAGTTTATGTTTCAAATTTCTTAGTTATCGCCACAGCTGAGAATGGTGAAGGTTATGTCCCTTCACTGCCCGGCTTATATAGCTTTGGAGGAGAAGTTCTTCACTCAAGCAACTATAAGTCGGCAATGGGTTATGAAGCAAAGGAAGTTTTGGTAGTCGGCTGTGGTAATTCAGGTATGGAGATTGCCTATGATCTCTCAAACATTGGAGCCCACGCTTCAATTGTTGTGAAGAACCCGGTAACCTCTCTCTCTCTCTCTCTCTCTCTCTCTCTCTCTCCCCCTTCCTCTCCTACCCCCAGACCCCACAAAGAGCTGTAAACCTGACAGTGTAGTTTTGATATTCTCCTGCATGCATTGCATGCATTGCAGAACATCAATCTACCTTGTTATGAACAGAAAATGTTCAACTCTTTTTCTTCTGCATTTTATGACAGAAGATGTCAAATCTTTTTCTTCTGCGTGTTTTGACATGTATAATCTTTCTCTCTCTCTCTCTCTCTCTCTCTCTCTCTCTCTATCTCTCTCCCTCCCTCCCACACATGCACACAAACAACTAATAGTTATATTGGTATTTGGATGCATCTCCAGCCTTGCATTGCACACCACTAATGGGGTCAGTTAATACGTGTTTTGGGTAGAGGCTGAGATTAATGGACATTCTATGTGTCTGGCATTCCTGCTTCGTAAGTTGAGATCGTTTATGGGGTTGGCAGACTGGTTAAATCCCACAAAATAAATAATTGAAGCCAAAGAAGAAAAATACAACGTAACCCCATATGTAATCTGAATCTGGTATAGGATTGTGATAATGTAAAGGTAATTTGTATAGGTTATTGAAATCCCTAAGCTTATCCTTTATCTAATTCCTTTTAGAAAGTATTTACATTCATTTTTTTAAATGAATTATGATAATGATTGGATTAAGTCTGGATCTCTTTAGAACCCAAGATCCTATGGGCTTGCAGAAAGTGGGCCAAACAGCTCGCCTAAACAAACTCTCCTGAGCACAAATTGGGCAACAAACCGATATCAGGAAAGGTCGGAGTAACAAGATCGGCACGATAACAAGCTCCGAACTTAGGAGCCTGGCACAGGGTCAGTGTGTTAAAACTGCAAAATGACACATGGATATGGGGCAAAGGACCTTTACCTGACGACTCTAATAAACAAAAGCCCACAAGTAGTAGAGACAAATCAAGTCCTATAGTCAGCAAGTAGTGGATGAAGAAAGACTTTGGGAACCATAACTCTAGGACGAAGACAAGTACAGAAAGTACCACAAAATCATCCAAAAAATAGAAACATGAAGTTCGAAATGCCAAAGATTGAGGTTTTCGATGGGACTAAAGACCCCATAAAACACCTGAACTTATACAAGAACCAGATGGAGCTCAATAGATATCAATATCTCGTCTGCTGTCGAGTTTTCGCCATCACCCTCAAGCTTGGCTCAACAGGCTACCACCAACATCAATCTCCTCCTTTCAAGAACTCTTCAAACATTTCATGTCTCACTTCATTGGGACATGAACTTCTTAGAAACCATCTTACTATCTCTTGAGTGTCAAGCAAGGATCCAATGAATCTTTGAGAAGTTATGTTCAGAGATTCAAATAGGAGTCCTTGAAAGTTTAAAATATAGATGCCAAGTTCGCCCTAAGCACCTTTATGTCGAGACTCGACCTCCAATCTAAATGTAACACCCCCCCCACTACCCAGCAAGATATTGGCCTCTTTGGCACAGGGTCACGGAACACCGTTCTCCTCCCCTGCCCTCAAGGGTTTGTTCCTCCCAGGGGTTCCCTGGGAAAAGGCCTCTTGCAAGGTAAGGGCTGAAGGCTTACTTATAAGCCCAGCAACTCCCCCCTCCGTAACCGATGTGTGATACCAGGATCTCACTGGGCTTATAAGTAAGCCTTCAGCCCTTACCTTGCAAGAGGCCTTTTCCCAGGGAACCCCTGGAGGAACAAACCCTTGAGGGCAGGGGAGGAGAACGGTGTTCCGTGACCCTGTGCCAAAGAGGCCAATATCTTGCTGGGTAGTGGGGGGGGTGTTACAAATGGTATCAGAGCCGACTCCTTGGCGGTGCCGAGTGTGGGGCCCTGCACGGGTCAGCGTGTAGGAGGGAGGAGAACGGTAGTCCGTGACCTAGCTACACGGGGACGTGCAGCCCTGAGGGGGGTGGATTGTGAGATCCTGGTATCCCACATCGGTTACGGAAGGGGGAGTTGCTGGGCTTATAAGTAAGCCTTCAGCCCTTACCTTGCAAGAGGCCTTTAACACCCCCCCCACTACCCAGCAAGATATTGTCCTCTTTGGCACAGGGTCACGGAACACCGTTCTCCTCCCCAGCCCTCAAGGGTTTGTTCCTCCCAGGGGTTCCCTGGGAAAAGGCCTCTTGCAAGGTAAGGGCTGAAGGCTTACTTATAAGCCCAGCAACTCCCCCCTCCGTAACCGATGTGGGATACCAGGATCTCACAATCCACCCCCCTCAGGGCTGCACGTCCCCGTGCAGCTAGGTCACGGACTACCGTTCTCCTCCCTCCTACACGCTGACCCGTGCAGGGCCCCACACTCGGCACCGCCAAGGGGTCGGCTTTGATACCATTTGTAACACCCCCCCCACTACCCAGCAAGATATTGTCCTCTTTGGCACAGGGTCACGGAACACTGTTCTCCTCCCCTGCCCTCAAGGGTTTGTTCCTCCCAGGGGTTCCCTGGGAAAAGGCCTCTTGCAAGGTAAGGGCTGAAGGCTTACTTATAAGCCCAGCAACTCCCCCCTCCGTAACCGATGTGGGATACCAGGATCTCACAATCCACCCCCCTCAGGGCTGCACGTCCCCGTGCAGCTAGGTCACGGACTACCGTTCTCCTCCCTCCTACACGCTGACCCGTGCAGGGCCCCACACTCGGCACCGCCAAGGGTTCGGCTCTGATACCATTTGTAACACCCCCCCCACTACCCAGCAAGATATTGTCCTCTTTGGCACAGGGTCACGGAACACCGTTCTCCTCCCCTGCCCTCAAGGGTTTGTTCCTCCCAGGGGTTCCCTGGGAAAAGGCCTCTTGCAAGGTAAGGGCTGAAGGCTTACTTATAAGCCCAGCAACTCCCCCTTCCGTAACCGATGTGGGATACCAGGATCTCACAATCCACCCCCCTCAGGGCTGCACGTCCCCGTGTAGCTAGGTCACGGACTACCGTTCTCCTCCCTCCTGCACGCTGACCCGTGCAGGGCCCCACACTCGGCACCGCCAAGGGGTCGGCTCTGATACCATTTGTAACACCCCCCCCACTACCCAGCAAGATATTGTCCTCTTTGGAACAGGGTCACGGAACACCGTTCTCCTCCCCTGCCCTCAAGGGTTTGTTCCTCCCAGGGGTTCCCTGGGAAAAGGCCTCTTGCAAGGTAAGGGCTGAAGGCTTACTTATAAGCCCAGCAACTCCCCCCTCCGTAACCGATGTGGCATACCAGGATCTCACACTAAAGATTTACAATTCTCCATCACTAAGAACCCCTAAGCGACAACGGCTGAGGTTCTCGCCAAAGCAAAGAAATACATAAACAAAGGGGAGACGCTCTGCATGCAGTGGAATGTGTTGACCTCGAGTGAGAGTGGGAAGAAAAAGAAAGACCACGGCCAGAGGAAAGAAAGAAGACGAGGTCAATCCCCGAAGAGAGAGAGAGAAAATTGTCCCCCAAAAGGAGGGGAAGCATCAAGGACCATCTAGGACCACCACCTCAAGAGCTTTAACTACGATATGTGCCAAATTGGCTCATCCCCCCCCCCCTCAATGCCACAATCTCTCAGGTCCTCCATGAAGTCCAAAATGAGGGATTTGTCAGATAGCCTCCTAAAATGAAGTTAGACCCTTGAAGGTGTGACCCAACCAAATAAAATATCTCCAGTTGCAGAAGGAAATAGAATATCTCATCCAGCGGGGCCGCTTGAGGCACTAAATGGTCGATGGGGAAAGAAATTGGAATGAAAGGGACCGAAATGGTTGAGTTGTAGATCCACCCCAGCAAAAACACTAATAGGCCCAAGGAGAGATCAAGGTCATCTTAGGTGGTTTTGTTGGGGGGGGGAGGGTCGAACTCAACCAAGAAAGCACACGCCAAAAGGGCCAGATTAGATGACTTTCTTGACGTCGAGATAATTTGGAAGACCCCACACCGAGATCCCAAATAACCTTCTCGGACATTGACTTGGAGGGATGTTAGCTCCCCCACAATGACCCCCTGGTCGTGAAGGCTATTATTGCAAACAAGACAGTACATCGCGTTCTCATCGACAATGGCAGCTCGACTGACATCATTTTTCTCTCTGCCTTCGAATAGCTTGATATAGACAAATCCAAGCTCGAACCCGTGAAGACTCATATGTTAGGTTTCTCGAGGAAAAGAGTCATGCCTTTGGGATCAATCCAACTTATTCTCACACTAGGAGAGCACCCTTGTCAAATCACCACTGTGGTCTAGTTCCTCATGGTGGACGCGGCTTTTGCATATAACATTCTGCTTGGTAGACCCTCGCTCAACTGTATCAAATTCGTCCCTTCGTCTTATCATCTGGTGATGAAGTTCCTAACTGAAAACGAAATCAAAGCAGTGAGAAGGGACCAACATGTTGCCAGGGAGTGTTACGTCGCATCAATGAGGTAGAAGGAGGTGGAGTCTATCCAATTAGACGATCTAGATATAGGGATAGATTGAGACCAAACCTACATCCTCAGAGGAGCTGGAGCCAATTCAGATAGACGAAGAACCCAGGTATGTGGTCTTCGTAGGCTCTATGCTACTCCAAGACATCAAGGAACAATTGATTCATTTCTTTAAAGAAAATGCTGATATTTTTTGCTTGGAAACAAGAAGATATGGAGGGGATTGACCCCAAATTTATAGTCCACAGGTTCAGCGTGGACCCAAACTAAAACCCATCAGACAGAAGACGAGAAGCTTTAACCTAGAAAGGCAAAATGCAATTAACGTGGAGGTGGCCAAACTACAACAGGCCAAGGCCATCAGGGAGGTCGATTACCCGACCTGGTTGGCCAACATAGTACATGTCAAGAAGTTTAAAAGGAAATGGTGTTGGTGCATTGACATTACTGATATAAACTGCACCAGCCCCAAAGACAGCTTCCCTTTGCCTCGAATCGATCTTATAGTC